CCCTGATAACTTATGTGGCATCCCTCTTCCCACATTTTGCTAGATAATTATGATTACAAATATATTCATGTGGACCTAAATATCATTTCTTTGCTGGCCTTCTCCATATCCATCTTTTTTATAATTCCTCCCCATCCTCATACTTCTCTCTCAACCTCCCTCCATCTGAGTGGCTTCTAGCCCCAGTATCACATCACTTCTACACAGTGGACTCGAGGAAGGAGAAAGAAAAGGGATCAGCCCCCCCGAGCCCTTTTTACTGCCCTTCTCCATCCGAATCTGAGGCCAGATGGAGTCAGATCTTATGAAGGTCTTATGAAGCAGCAAAGAAACCTGTGTGGTATTGTCAACAGTAATTATGATGGAGCAGACCAAATGAAACAGTGAAGAGGACTAAATTGGATTTGAAAGGGGAAGATTGCCAGACACTCTCTACAGGAGGCTTCTTTTGCATTGGACAGTATTTTGACAGATAGTAGTGCATTTTCCCTTGTGGTATTTTTTCCACAGGTGGAATACCTTTACTTGTTGCATAACTGTTAAAGTTGTTAAAGAGATAGCTTGCTGCCTGGAGCAAGAAGATTAATCACCTTACGAAGAATAGACTGCCAGGTGTAGTTATTAGCAATTCAGATTGAGGTATAGGATGGATCCTAAACCCATGGGAATCTTGATTAGAAAGATGCAAAATATGAGATAAGGATTCTCTTGTCCTGAGCTTCCCATGGCCCATTGTAGCCTTTTCCCCATATTCTATTAGGAAATTTTGTAGCATACTCAGCATGGCAAAGTGTATGGTTCTGCTGAACATGACAGCTCTCAGCTAGTGGATCTTCAGGGTGAGAGGTACTATTGCGTTCTCTTAATCCAAGTACAACAATGTTAAGAAATAGGTAATGCTGGAAGAGAGGATTGAGTGGCATAGTGCCATATAGTAGTTGTATCAATATTTCTGGCTCCACAATTTTTTTGCCTTTCTATTCTTCCTCACTTGTCCACATCTTCTCTGAACGCAGCAAGGACTTCAATTCCTATTTCTTTTTTCTAACAGTTACTTCTTTGTTTTGGGGTTTCCAAAATGTTAGTCCCTTGCTGTAAAAACAAAAGGGCTTCATGACGCCTTAAAGACCAGCTGATTTATAATAACCATTTAAATAGGTTCCATAGAAATGTATGCTATGATAAATGTTGTTACTTATATCAAGGTTATCTTAGTTGCTTGTACCAGAGTTGTGTTTTGGCTCAGCAATAGAAACCAGAAGCTTCAGCTGAGTTTTGGTTGCTTCTTCTCTTCATTGGACTTCATTGGTAGTTACTGCATTCCTTGCACGATTTCTGCAGAACTAATTTCAAGAAAAGCCAGTTTCATTTTGCCAGCTTTTCTGTGCTTTCATGAAAATTATACTAGGGTATTTCTGGAGAAAGTACAGAAAATCCTTCACTCTTTGGGGATATTTTAGTTGTTGTTTGGTAAAGTGATTGCATAACTTGACAGAGAGACAAAGAGTGAAACATCGTCATGTTGAATGCTGAGACTCAATTTTCTCAGCCAATTTTTTTGTCACAATCCCCCTATCAACCAGAAAATTATACACTGGGTCAACAGTTCAGTTTGCAGGAATTTCTTGGAGAAACTTCCTGGTGAGAAAAGCATAGCTTATGTTGGAAGGGTGAAGACATGGGAAAATGCTAATTTTTATAAACAGAGACAAGCGAGATCAGATTCACATCCCAACTGGTGGCTTCTTGTTGAACCAACTAGTTCTAGAGTGTTGCTTGTGGTCTTGCTCAGATGTTTGTTTGAAGGCGTAGATCAAAAATATCAATTCCAAAGGCATCCTACCCAGAAAATGAACTTGCTTCTTTCTCTTAAAGCTGGAATTAAGCATACAATACCCTTCAAAATCCAAAGTGTTTTTTGTTTTCTCTGAAAACCTCAAGGTGTTGATGCCCTCTACTGTTTGGAAACCAATACTGTAACTAGCTCACTCTTCTGTTTGCAATAGTGTAGATTTATAGGCATCTTGTTTGAGAAAAGGATGAAAAAATAGAATTAACTGGTAAATAACAGTGGTAACCCACTTCATCACACTAAAGAAAAAAAATCCACTTAAAATCTGATTTCTGCCTTCTACAGAATTCTGGGGTTTGTAATTTAAAGGCTCCTTCCTATACTACAAACCCCAGAATTCTGCAGGAGGTGATAATGGGAGAAACTGCCTGAATCTGGTGTTTATTTGGCATCTGCCTGGGGAACCCTTTTTGTTCTTCCGCAAATATTCTGTAATGTGGCAGCTTAATTTAGTGGATATGAGGTTCCTCTTTGTTTGTGACCACACTTCTTGAGTTTATGATGGCTTTTACAAGAGCATGATGGTCCCTCTGTCCCCACTCCCTGTCAAGGGCACATGTTATGGGGGATCAAACAGCTTTATGAGGATGCTCTTTTAGTTAGCTTACTGCGTGGCCATGAGCCAAGTCACTCGGGAAGTATCATGTATTGAAAATATAGGGAAGCATTTTGTGCACTGTGTATAAAAGATAGTAATGATAATGCCACAGCATCTAGAGTCTTAGAGTTATTCTCCCCCTCTTCCTCCTTTTGCAAACAACTGTCCCCCTCAATCTTAAATCCCTGGTTGTCTAAAGTAGAGCTCCGAAAAGATACTTCCTTTGCTAGCTGAGTGATTCTGGGAATAATCCTCTCAAAAAGTAGATTTTCCATGCCCTGATCTAGAAACATAACCAATTGCTTCTATAGAAAGAGGATGAATACAGAAGCACCCATGTAAACTATATTTTAAATGTGATCCTGAAAGATGATGGGGTTGGTGTCAGGTTCATTCACTGACTTTGAAATAACCCATTGAGAACCTGGATAATAAACAGATTTTGGAGACATGCCACTCTGATGCTCTTAGGTTTCGCTTACTTGTTTTCTATGGTCAGAGTGAAAGACTCCCACGTTTTGTAGCCATGGTAAAATTAAGGGCTCTTTTTCATATTTTGGTTTATTTCATGCAGCAACCATGGTTGTATGAGTTTGTCTCTTCAAAATATCACAGGCCAGTCATGATTGGTCTGTTGTTTCAGAGCAGTACTATGGACTGAACTGCCAACTCTCTTCTTAAATGCTGTCCTGAGGACATCTCCATTATATTTATGTGATCCCTTCTTCACAGTTGCTCTGTGGTTTTTAGTGCTGCAGGGTGTAGTGCAAAGTCTAGATGGAAATCAGTGTAATATTTTCAATCCAGATTTGGGGTATTGGGACTTTACAAAATAGCCTTCATTGTCTATTTTCTATGCAAGGACTAAGAAACAATAATCTCCTACTCAGAAATATAGTGCCTTAATTCTAAAGTATCTCCTGATTTCTATAGCCTGATGTTGTTTTGCTTTCTCTAAAGGCTTTGATTACAAACTTGTTCAGCCATAGTTACAATACTGACTCATGGTTTGGACATTTATAAGCAACAGATGTGCAAAGATGGACAATGGGATTGACAGGCGGAATTTTAATGTATTTAAACATATTTACCATGCCTTATTATGTAGTCTTTATAAGGTGGCTTATAACTTAATATAGTATGACCCTCGTATCCAGGGGAATGCTTCCCAGACTTCAATGGATATACAAACACAGATTGAAATGGTCTTCTTACCCAAGAATAATACAGTAGCACTGAAGAACCTAGAAAGTGTCTAGAGATGATGTATTTTGTTATATGTGAATAGATGAATCTGTAGATACCAGTTCTATGGATACAGCATCATGCTGTTATAAAAATAAAAGCAATGTGGTAAAATGCACAATTAAACATTAGTAAAAACAGCAAGAAATCAGCTTATTTAAGAAAGGGATAGGTGAAACAAATGGGTGTTCATGGTCACTCTGAAAATGACCTGCAAAGTGGTTTATTGAGGTTGTAGGAGAGGGAATTGTAGAGATTTGAGCCCATCAAGAAAATGCTTTTCCATTTCCCCCTGATGCCTAAAATCTAATATACTTGCTCTTTTAACTCTTGGGAAGAGGATAACCTGCAGCTTAGCCGAAGGAAAAGCTAAGACACGGAATGTACTGATATTTAGAGAAACTAACTGTTTGGGTTTATAAAGCTTTAGAGGAATTGTGTTCAGAAACCATCCAACCTATTGCTCTCCTTGACTCATTGTTTATTGATTCACTACCCAGACCTTGTGTAGAATTGGATATTTCTTTAAATGGAATCACTTGGTCTTATTGTTTGTTTTTACCAGTTTGCAAAACAAACAAACCCCAAAGCAAGAGCCAGTGCACAATTACATTCACAACTACTATGGCCATGCTTCCCTTAAACCAGCTACCTGTTCAGCCACCTTTCCTCCAGAAAATGTGGCATGTCTTCATTGCTCTCCTCTCTTCTCTGACATTCTGAAACAGGCTAGTGATAAGAGATTTCACATGTGAAGTGTTGTTCTGGAACATAGGTTGGTGCAGGTTCTTACAGGGGGTCTTGAAATCTCTATATACTTTGGATCCTTTCCCAAGCCACCGCTTAGAGATCTGGTTAAATTCTCAGTTACACAACAAGAAGGGAACATTTTTCTAGTACAATTTTCTTTTTGTGTCAGGAGTGACTTGAGAAACTGCAAGTTGCTTCAGGTGTGAGAGAATTGTCTGTGTGCAAGGAGGTTGCCCAGGGGACGCCTGGATGTTTGATGTTTTACCATCCTGTGGGAGGCTTCTCTCATCTCCCTGCACAGGAGAGCTAGAGCTGATAGACGGGAGCTCACCCCACTCCCCGGATTCAAACTGCCAACCTGTCGGTCAGCAAGTTCAGCCAGCACAAGGCTTTAACCCATTGTGTCATGGGGGGGCTCCTCTAGTACAGTTTTACATGGGGAGGTGGGGTTCGTTACATTGCACAGAAAATGCTCAAGTAGTTTTTCTTTTCCTAATATTATTTGACTTCTCATAATAACCCTAACGTTTGGTCTCTTTTGTATTTTTCTTTTAGGCTGCCACGCCTTGTATGCCTGCTGGCAATAATGAACTGGTAAGTAAACTGATGCTGCCTTTCTTTGCTTTTTGTCTTTTTCTGTACCCTATTGTCGCTATCTTAACAAGGGGATGGGGAATTTGAAGTGTAGACTGCCAAAAGCTGGACTGCTGGAAGGCTTACAGGGTCACAATGGATTGGAGTAAGATGTGTCTCAGGGATCCAACACAAGAGACAAAAAGAACCAGAGTTCAAGAGTTAAAAGGGGCACCAGCTTTTTGAAAAACACATGTACAGTACCTGCACTACATCAGATACATATTCTTGATGCTGTTTGGATTTACACTCCCCAAAGGAGCTGAAAAAGGGGGAAATAGATGCTATGAGGAAACAATGCAATAAAGGGAATAATAGGATCTAAGAGTTGGAAGACAACACAAGGGACATCCAGTCCAATCCCATTCTGCCGTTCAGGAACTCAGAATCAAAGCACTCCTGACAGATGGAATCCCTTTCCTTCATAAGAAAAGAAGAGAAGGGCAAAGTGGGAACTTGTCATGTATGTTTCAGTTATACATAGTTGTACTCCTGTTTAAACAATCTTAAGGATCAGTTGCACGCTTGTTTTAAAATATGTAACTTTCACTCTCCAACAGGAGGTAATTCTGTGTGATCTCTCTTGAGCATCTAGATCATTGTTTCCCAATCTGACATTCTTCACTTGTGCTAATTCCCTGGCTCTCTAAAAGCAATACTATTTATAATCCAAGATATTCAGAAGAAGCTGATTTTTTTTGGAAGGCTGTGGTGTATTATGAGTTATTTGAATATTGCATTAGTTCTATTAAATCTTTCTGTCCATCTTTTTGATCATGAAGCAATCTAGTTTTCATCTGCATTGTTTGCTTTAATTAACATGTTAGCTTTGGTAAACATAGTAAAAAATACTATATCAATTTCCAGACATCCAGACACTCATACCAGCTTTTCAGACAGGGTAATAAGAAAACCATGGGACCCATTTGTATACTATATAGCCTTTGTTTATTATTGTACTTCTTTTCAGCATGTGTTTCAGCCCTTCAGCCTGAAGGATTCAAAATTAAAGGATAAAAAATTAAAAGGACAATAAACCCAGCAATAAAACAGTGGGTGATGTTAAAAATTTAAAACAGAGGCATACTAATTCTGGTTTCCTATAGGGGCTAACAGGGGATGCATCTACATTGTAGAATTAATGCAGTTTGACACCACTTTAACTGCTAGGCTCAATGCTATGGAATCTTGGGATTTGTAGTCTGGGGAGGTAACATTATTCTTTGACAGAGAAGCTGAAGACCTTGTAAAAGTACAAGTCCCTTGAGTCCATAGTATTGAGTTGTAGCAGTTCAAGCTGTTTCAAGCTGTATTTATTCTACAATATAGATGTCCCCATGCTCTGTGCTTGATTTGTCCCTTCACTTTCTACACCAGCGTCAGTGCTTTGAACTTGATCTGTTTAGGGCAGGGCTAGGCAGCTTCAATCCCTTGTCTGAATTCAGTCCTGTACACATCCCAACTTGACCTTAGGGTGATTTCCCAAGTGGCCACACCTAGTTTTACACAATCATTTTGAGTTATGCTTCTCCTAAGGCCCACCACTGGAATGCAACCTCTCAAAATATCTCTGAACTTGGGTTTATTCCTTGGTCAAGGTTTTTGCCATACTGAAAACCAGAGTTTTACTGATTATTTAGAAAAGGGTATTTCAGCAGGCGTTGCTTCTCATATAAGCAGGTAACCAGCAGCACCTGCTGAAATTCCCTTTTCTGTACTATCACTGTAGCTCTCTTCAGTTTTGCTCTGGCAACACTGACTTAGGTCACCTTAGTTTAGAATCAAACCTCAATGCTCCAATCCTTGTGGCTGGGGATGAGGGTGAAGGGCAAGATACCCATACAGACATGAATTATAGAACTAGAGGGATGAAAGGCTATTAATCCCCCTCCCTCAAAGACAATAACAAAATAATAGAACCTAACTTTATGAACCTAACACAGTCTCTTCCTCCCCTAGAATATTTGTTCAAGACTGGAGCTTTTTAAAGAATAAAAAAAATCCAGTGTAATTGAAGTCTCATGCTGTGATCTCATGATGGCCCAGTGATCTCTTGGAGATTGCAAGCAAGCCTGTAGCTGAGATGAGGTTTGGTTAATAGTTCAAACCTCCTGGCCCTGAATTTTTTCAGGTTAAAAAAATGTGATTTACTCTCTGCTTCATATGGAAAAATGCTGCACTCAAAGAGCTCAGGCGGTGTTATATTTCAGTGTCGATGTTGACTTTTGTGAAGAGGTGGCTGCCAAGGTAGTGGAAATTGTCAACATTTTCTAATGTTACACCATTAAGCTGTATTTCTGGCATTGCAGAGGTATTGCCTGGTGCATGCTGAAAGACCACATTTTCTTGATGTTCAGTGAGAGGCTAAGCTTTTTGTATGCTTCTGCAAAGGTGTTTAGAGTGGCTTGTAGGTTTTCTTCTGAATGAGCACAGACTACATTATCATCAGCATATTGAAGTTCTCTAACAGATGTTGTTGTGACCTTGGTTTTGGCTTTCAGTCTGCTGCGGTTAATTAGCTTGCCATCTATCCAATAGATGATTTCCACATTAGTGGGTAGCTTCCCATCAACAAGGTGCAGCATCATAGTGATGAAGATGGAGAATAAAGTTGGGGGAATGACACCTCCTTGTTTGACACCTGATTCACTTTGGGAGCAATTTCTATCTAAGACTTTTTTCATCATGGAGGAACTGCAGGCTGATCATAAATTTGCCAGGGACTCCAATTTTTGGATGATGGTCCAGAGAGCACTGCAATTCACCATGTTGAATGCCTTTGCAAGATCAATAAATACCACGTATGGAGGTTAATTTTATTCCCTGCATTTTTTTTCGGAGCTGTCGTGCACTGTTCCTCTGGAGGGGTGGAAGCCATTCTGAGATTCTGGGAGGATGTCTTCTGAAGGCGATTTGCAAGGATTCTTGCAAGGATTTTCCCAACGGAGGTTAGAAGGGAGATAGTTTCCACTGTCTGTTCTGTCCTCCTGTTAGAAAAGGATGAAGATGGTGGCATCCTTGAAGTCTTATGGGATTTCTTGGTCGCCCACACTTTTTCAATGAGCTGGTGAAGTTGTTGTATCAGCTCAGATCCACCCTCTTTAAAGATTTCATCAGGGATCGCATCAGGTCTGCTGGCTTTGTTATTTTTTAGTTGACTGATGGCTTTGCTTACTTTCCCCAAAATAGGCAGTGCTCTAAGCTCATTCCTGGCTTGTTTTTGCAGGATCTGCAAGGAAACCTCTTTGGTCACATTGGAGCTGTGGTTAAGGAGGTTATAGTTGTGCTTTTTCCAACTTAGTGCAATTGATGTTTTAACCTTCAGAAATTTGGTTCCATCTGATGAATTTAGTGGGTGTATGCCATGATTAGTTGGGCCATAGATGACCTTAGTGGCATTAAAAAAAATCCCAGTGCGTCATGGACTGCAAAGTGTTGGATGTCTTGACACTTTTTTGTCCACCAAATGTTTTTGTGTCCTCTGGTCCTTCTTTGGATCTCAGCTTTTGCACTGGTATAGATCTTTTTCTTAGCAGCGCAGTTGGTGTCTCTCTGCCATGTTTGGAAGGCTTTTCTTTTCTTATGAATTAACTGTTGGATCTTATTATCATTTTCATCAAACCAGTCTTGATGTTCCTTAGTTTGGTATCCAGTTGAGTTCATTCTTCAGTTTATTCCAGTGTTCCCCAACATTTTCAGGGTGTTCTATGAGTAGATGATCATTGAGTGTTGTTTGGAGAAGAGCTCGTTTGGTGGGCTCTTGAAAGGCTTGAGTTTTCATTTTACACCTTCTCTTACTTCCTTGGAGTCTGCATTTGGGGGAGATTTTGATGGCCATCATGGATTGAATTAACCTTTGGTCTTTCCAGCAGTCATCAGTGTTCTTGTGAGAAGCATATCATGGCAGTTTCTGGTACATACAATGACATAGTCTAAGAAGTGCCAGTGCTTTGACCAGAGGTGCTTCCATGATGTCTTGAGCTTATTTCTCTTGTGGAAGAGTGTGTTGGTGATGACATGGTTGTATTCTGGACATTTGGTGAGAAGCAGAGGATGGATAATGGGTGATATACATCTAAGGAATGTATAAAGTGTCATACTAGGTAAATTTACTTTTGGAATAATGTATATCAAGATAAGACTTTTATGGCAAAAGTTTGTTAATTGATGAGATTTATCAACTAAAGTAATTTTTAAAAAGAAGCAGAATGCTATTTGGGTTGCTGTTTCCAACCCCATCTTTACCTGTGGTCCCTAGCCACAGGTCGAACTCTTGCCTGGCTCTTGCATTAAAATGACTCTCGCATTAAAATCTTGGAGGCAGGACTGCCTGCCTGCTAGCTTCCTTGTATTTTCATGTTTTTGGTTTTGTCCATCTCAGTATGCTTTGCTAGGTGTATCTTGGCTTAAAATCTATGAATCTATTGGCATCAATGTTTTACTCACCACAATAGCCTATTTACAACCCAGATGTTGAAAACTTCTGGAATTGCTTGAAGGTTTGCATATTTTTATGGAAATAAACTTGGTCCTGAAGAAAATATTTCCAGCATACATTTTGGGTTTCATTTTGGTTTTTTGAAAAAATACATTTTCCATTTTTTCTACGAGATAGTGAGTGTAAGGATCATCCAAATTTGCTGGTGCCTTTTACCTACATGTATGATTGGGCCAAACCTTAGAAGCATGTTTTAAACTATACTACTATTCTCCAGAGATGTCATCCAAGGAACTAAGTTTTCCCAGTTTTGCCCTAGTTGTACAACTTTGTACAACTGTGGCCTCAAACATGTGCATGGAGAAGAAGTGTATTGGGAGAGTCAGACCAGTTTTTCCCCCCAGTGAATTATAGAGAAATGTGTGTGTGTGTGTGTGTGTGTGTGGCAAGGGGGTGGGGAAGGTGTCCTCATCCTCCCTATCCATGTTGGTTAAGATCACAGAGCCTGTACCCTTTTCTCTGC